CTCACACCTTTGTTTCTGTGAGCGATCACTCAGTATTATAAACTCCAATTCCATCCAGGTTGCTGTGAAATTCATGATTTTATTCTTTTTTATGACTGCGTAATATTCCATTGTGTATATGTACCACATTTTTTAAATCCAGTCCTCTTTTGATGGACAGCATGGTTGGTTCCATGATCTTGCTATGCGAGGAGAACCTATTCAGTAAGTGGTGCTGGGAAAACTGGCTGACCACATGCAGAAGATTGAAACAGGACCCCTACCTATCCCCATACACAAAAATTAACTCTAAATGGATCAGAGACCTAAATGTAAAACCTCAAACCATAAGAACTTTAGAAAATACAAGACACACCCTTATGGAAGTAGGAACTGGAATCCAATTCCCGAGCAAAACCCGAAACGCACGGGCCATAAGAAATAAGATAGACAAGTGGGACCTCATTAAATTCCATTTTAATTCGAAAATTGTTTGTAAGGTGTATCTCAACAAATCTGACAAAATTTTTTTTAAAAGCACATCAACATTCTTTTTGTGATCTTTTTTTTTTTTTTTGAGACAGGGTTTCAATCTGTCACCCAGGCTCGAGTGCCGTGGCTGGATCATGGTTCACCGCAGCCTCTAACTCCTGGGCTTAAGCGATCTTTCTGCCTCAGCCTCTTGAGTAGCTGAGACTACAGGCGTCGGCCACCACACCTAGTTCATCTTTTTTATCTTTTGTAGAGGGTCTCACTTTGTTGCCCAGGCTGATCAAACTCCTGGTCAATCCCCTGCCTTGGCCTCCCGAAGTGCTGGGATTACAGGCTTGAGTCACTGTACCGGACCCCTTTGTCTGATTTCTGTTAGCTCACACCTTCTTTTCAACGAGACTGAATGTTGTGATATAACTCCTTTGCGCTTTACATCGACTCTGAGCATTCTCACCACAAAAATAATAACTATATGAGGCAATGAACATGTTAATTAGCCAGATTTAGTCATCCCACAACGCACCTATACTTCGAAATATCATGTTGTATGCAGTAAATACAGACAATCTTCTCTCTCAGTATAAAGAATAACATTATTTTAAGAATTCATTTACAAGTACTTATCATCTTCCTCCACCCAGAACCTGGCCTTCCGGAGTAAACTATAACTTCCACCCTCATAACTTCCCTGTTCCCTTTGAGGACTGGCACAACTTCAAGGCATACAACAATCTGGAGGAGGTCCAGTCATGCAGAAAAACCTGCATAATTCTCTCTTATTGTCCAAAGTATAAGATAATGTGCGCACAGAGAATTCAGTTTGTCTTTGCTCCTGATGTATTCATATAACCCAAACATTCCCCTAGGTTCAGTCAAAGTCAGCTGCAATCTGACAGTCCTAGTACACATGACTAAGGGGGAAAGAAGCTTGAATAAAGATTTAGATGCTAGAAACCAGCCTTTTCAAATGGAGATTGCTTTGTCCCCAGCACAAAATTGGATGAATTTAGGGAGAAATAGGGAAGGGCAAGAAACTCTTGAAGACTAGGCATCAAACCAAAAAAGACTGAAATCCAAAAGAGACTGTTTTAATAAGAAAATCCTGATATATAGGAGACATGGTTTCTTTCTCTTTTTTTTTTGTGATTCAGATACTAGTGACACGGTTTTTACCATGTGAATAGTAATGTGTGCATACTTGCCTTGCTGAAATTAATCATGTGTGTATAATTGTTTTGCTATCAGTACTTGACATAATGATGAAACATAAAGAATGAGTCTTAAAATAAGGATTTCCTCATAACTACTATTATTTAAAATGGTTCTGGAAATCCTAGTTCCTGCAATTAATCAAAAAAGGGGACCAGGCGCAGTGGCTCAAGCCTGTAATCCCAGCACTTTGGGAGGCCGAGGTGAGGGGATTGCCTGAGCCCGCAGGTTCGAGGACAACCTGGGCAACTTGGCGAGACCTCATCTCTACAATAAATCAAAAATTAGCCAGGCGTGGTAGCGCGCGCCTGTAGCTCCAGCTACTTGGAAGGCTGAGGCAGAAGGATCGCCGGAGCCCAGCAGGTTGAAGCTGCAGTGGCCATGAGCATGCCACTGCACTCTAGCCTAGGCGATGGGGAGAGACTCCGATTCAAAAAAGAAGAGGGGGATAAGAAATATTTCTTAAATAAATTAGAAAGTAAAAGTTAAAGCAGAATCATTAGTATTTGCTAATGATTGTTTTTAATGAGGAAAAACATACCACCTCAAAATCTATATAATCCATAATGTTGCAGCTTCTGACAAAGCTCCCAGTAATCCCTGTCTCCTGGTCTGTATGACCTAGGGTAATCTTGCCTTGAGGATATTTGATGTGTGCGTGGATTGATTCTCACACATCAAATATGGCAAAAAGGAATGATGTCGCCGGCCTGTGATTCCTTTTAAGAGACCAGGCCGCTCTCTCTTGCTGGTGTTCTCTTGTCCTCTCACTTATTTTCTCTGGCAAAGCCAGCTGCCGTGTTGTAAAACATTCTGCCAAGAGGCCCACAAGACAAGTCGCTGAGAGACGCTCAGTCCAACAGCCCCTGGAGAGCTGAATCCTGCCGTCAGCCATGTGAGTGACTGTCAAAGTGGGTCAAAGTTCAGCCTTGGGATGATGACAGCCTGTGACTGGACCCAGGACTCCTGACCCACAGAAGCTGTGAGATAACGTAGGAATTAATTTCTATACGATAATTACAGAAATGGTAAGATAACACTCGCGCTTTTAAGCCACTATGTTTGGGAGTAATTTGTTATGCATCACTTAGTAACCTGTAAACTGAGCGAATCGGGAAACATAATTAAAGTTAACGTTTAAAATCAAACAACCAGCCAGTCAGAAAATGTGTGCAAACTTGACCTAATTAAAAAAGGCATAGAGAAAGAGGGATGATAGGGGAGAGGAGAAATGTTTTCCAGGAAAGTGTTAAGTGTAACAATGAGACTGGATAACACATAGGAAAATACAGAAATTCTTCATTGTCACAATCTAATGTAGATTTGAAAATATGATGGAAAGTAATTGTTTAGGTAACTGAAACTTATATTCTATGTTCACAAATTAAAAAAATATTAATGAGTTACCAGGTGATTTTTTAAAAATTTCTGGCTGGGCACAGTGGCTTATACTTGTAATCCTAGCACTTTGGGAAACTGAGGTAGAAAGATGGCTTGAGTAGAGGATTTCAAGACCTGCCAAGGCAACGTAGTGAGACCACATCTCTATAAAAAATTTTAAAAATTAGCCAAGCATGGTGGTGCACACCTGTAGTTCCAGCTATTTGAGATGCTGAAGCAGGAGGATTGCTTGAACCCAGGAGTTCTAGGCTGAGGTGAGCCGTGATCACGTCATTGCACTCCAACTTGGTGGTAAAGACCCCAACTCAAACAAAATCCTAATAAAGACCAGGTGTGGTAGCTCATGCCTGTAATCCCAGCACTTTGGGAGGCCAAGGCAGAAGAATCTCTGATACCAGGAGTTCAAGACCAGCCTGGGTAACATAGCAAGAACCCACCTCTACAAAATATATAAATTAATTAATTTTTAAACTCCAATAAATTTTGCCAAGTATCCCTAAAATCCCTTTAGATACCTAGTTAAATGCATATATCTATCAAGGATTTTAGTTTAATATCAAGCAATTAAAATTACATTTTTCTAATTATTGAACATATAACATATTGGTAGATACATTCGTAGATATGGAGATCCCTCTCTGTTGGCCCGGCTGGTCTCAAACTTCTGTTCTCAAGTGATCCTCCCACCTCAGCTTCCCAAAGTACTGGGCTTATTGGCATAAACCACTACGCCTAGCCAAAATATGCTTTTAACTTAACAGTATTGCTATACAGATAAAATGCTGAATTCTTTTTTCCAGATTTATTGAGGTATAATTGGCATAAATTAAAAACTGCATATAATGTGTACAATTTGATGCGTTTGGACATAAGTGTTACTCATGATACCACACACAAAATGCAAGCAATAAGCATATCGATCACCCCAAGTTGCCTCGTGTCCCTTTATTGCTATTGTTGTTGTCAGAACACCGAACGTGAGATCTACCCTCTTAACACATTTTTAAATACAGGACAGCTTACTGTTGAACTATGGGCACTTTGCTGGAGAGCTGATCTCTGGAAGAATGTATTCATCTTATACAGCTGTAACTTTATATCCATTGAACGGCAACTCCCCAAATCCCCCTTCCCCATTCATCACATCCTGTATAATCTCTTTTCTGAAACCTTTTCTGTCATTCCCATTGTCTCCTCCCCACTGCTACCCCACAGTAGAAATAACTAACAAAATAACCACTATCTCTTTTGAAAGACTGTACCTGGTCGGGCTCGGTGACTCAGCCTGTCATCCTAGCACTTTGGGAGACCGAGGGGAGTGGATTGCCTGAGCCCGAGGGTTCGAGACCCGCCAGGGCAACTTGGCAAGATCTCATCTCTACACTACATCAAAAATTAGCCAGGCGTGTTAGCGTGCCCCATAGTTCCAGCTACTTGGAAGGCTGAGGCAAAAGGATAGCTGGAGCCCAGCAGGTCGAGGTTGCAGTGGCCGGGAGTGTGCCACTGCGCTCCAGTCTGGGCAACAGAGTGAGACTCCAACTCAAAAAAAAGACTGTATTTTTTGCATACAGTATGGTGTTGTATGAACCCACTTAACACTTGATCTCCCATTATCTGATTATGAGGTACTCCTGGCTCCTACTATATTGCCCGACACACAGTATAAAATATGATCAATGACTGATACATGTGCATGTGGAAAGTGGCAAAGACAGCTGACCACAAGGACGTTTAGTCTTTGGGACGTGAATAGCATTAACCTTCTGCCTTCTCATCCATTGAGTTATCACCACATTTATGTGCTTTTGCGACTTTGGGGACTTCCTGTGGAGACTAAGTTATTCTCTTTCTGTTAGGCTCTACTAACCAAGAGCAAACCGCAGGCCCAGAGAACATCGTATAAAGCCCCGGGGCCGGCCATGCTCAGACACCTACATGCTCCACCCATGTCCATGCTGCTTCTCTTCACTGGCCCTTCGATCATGAGACTCCCTTTGCTTCTTTTCATTCTCCTTCTCTTTTTGGCTCTCGTGCACCCAGGTGAGTTGGCAGCTGGTGATAGGGGTCCTCAGTTGAGAAGGTTGTAGGGCAGGTCAGACAAGACCCTGGAATCAGTCAAATGGGTTCAGAAACCTAAGAGCAGCACTTCCCTAGAATCATAGTAGGGCAACATCGGAAAGAAGACTGGTCCATTGTCATTCACGAGACTGCCTGAAGAGGTCCCGTTCTGCTTTATCCTTACTTTGTATTTGGGGGTGCCTTGGTGGGGCAGGGACATTTATGTGTCGGGAGTTAGATCTGACAGAAAGGAATCGCGGCCCCATCTAAAATGTTCACCCTCTAGGTGAGAAGAGATGGAAGGAATTCTATCAACAGCAGCTAGTGCTTGGTGAATGGCACAGGATCTAAAATCGTATGGGAAAAGACAGACTTCTACAAGAATGATTATTTCAAGTAAATTGACAGTAAAAGAATGACTGTTTGACAACATTGAAGTAGAGGAGGAGAGAATTCATTCTGTGTGTTAGACTGGTCAAAGAATAAGCAAACAGAAAAACAATACAACAGACTTTAAGAAAGAAATCGTGATCGTGTAAGGTTAGACATAAAAAATTATTTGAAGAGTGAAACTGAAGACTAGAAAGGAGAGTTGGAGAAAGCTTAAACAGGCCAGGCATGGTGGCTCATGCCTGTAATCCCAGTGCTTTTGGAGGCCAAGGCAGGAGGCCTGCTGGAGACCAGGAGTTGGAGATCAGCCCAAGCAACATAGGGAGAGTCCATTTCTATGAAAAATATTTCTAAAAAATAGCCGAGCATGGGGGTGTGCACCTGTGATCCCAGCTACTCGGGAGGCAGAAGAGGAGGGAGGATCTCATGAACCCAGAAGTTTGAGGCTGCAGTGAGCTATGATGGCACCATTGCACTCCAGCCTGGGCAATAGAGTAAGACCCTGGCTGACAAGAGAAACTTCTGATAAGTAAAGACACCAAGATGGGATGATTGCTGTATATTACAGGCTTGTTGCCCAGTAAATGGTAGCAGATAATGGTGGGGAAAAAAGGAATGACTAAAATCGGATAAGCTAAGCACACATCTTGGAACTTTGAGGGGAAAAAAACAGCATGATAAACCTAAGAGAAGCTAGAGGTATGAAATTATAACTCCAAATACATAAAATTATCGAAATGAACGAGGAAGCAAATACACAAAAAAAATCAACAAAGCAAGAAGTTTTTTCTTTGTTTGCTTGTTTTGAGTTGGAATCTCACTCCATTGTCCAGGCTGGAGTACAGCGCCATGCTCACAGCTGCCCCAGCATTGATCTGCTGGGCTAAGACAATCCTTCTGCCTCAGCCTTCCAAGTAGTCAGAACTGCAGGCTCACACTACCACACCCTGCTCATTTTTTATTTATTGTAGAAACCAGGTCTCGACAAGTTGCCTGGGCTGGTCTTGAACCCACGGGCTCAGGCAATCCACTTGCCTCGGCCTTCCAAAGTGCTGGGATTACAGGCTGAGCCACTGAGCCTGGCCAGAAGTTGTTTTTACAGACTAACGCATTTTATAATAACCTGGTGACACTGATCAATAAAAAAGGAGAACATGCTTAAAATAACTATCTCAGGAATTAATAGACTGACATCACAACAGATGTTTCTAAAATTCAAAGACCTTTTTTAAATGTTATAAATGTATGCACTATATTTCATCCCTTCTTATGTACTTTGAAAGTTCCCTGCTGCAGGTCATTGTACCATCACTATATCATCAATTTTCTTTCTAGTGGATTATTACCATTAACAAACAAATATGCCAGTTTTTTTCTATGACCTAAAGAAAAAAAAAGTTCTCCTGCTTTTCTTCCAAGGCCAGCTGTCACTCCATTGCTGTGCTCCTGCTGTGCAGCAAAACACCTTGAAACAGTTGCCCATACTCTTGTCTTCAATCTCTCTCCTCTCTTTGTCTCTTAAATGTATCCCAATCAGGCATTGTCTCTGTTTCTTCCACCCTACTGTTGATACTGCTTTTGTCAAAGTAACCGAGAATCTCTGCATCGCCAGACCTGAAGGTCATTTCTCGCTGCAGCTTTCCTTGGCCCGTTATCAGCATTTGATGAGAATGGTTGGTTACTCTCTTCTTTCTACGATACGTTCCTCACTTGGCTTCCAGGACAGAACACTCACTTGATCCTCAGCCCACCTCACTGAAGCTACCTCCTCAGTGTCGTTTGCTGCTTCCTCATCTTTTCCAGGACTCTTTACTGGAGGCCTCCGCCTGCCTGTTCCTCCTTAAAGGGCTCACAGGTGGTTCTGCTCTCCATCCAGTCTGTCTTAGAAACACTCGGTCATGAAAAATGTCTTGGTGAGCGAGCCTGAGTCTGTCCAGGCCCCCGGTGATGCTCAACTCTCACAGAAGCCCACACTCAGCCTTTAAATATGTGTTGGGTGTTCACCTGTTTCCTTCTTATCTCCATCAGTGACAGCTTTCTCCATTCTGCTACAACTCACCTGTGCACAAAAGCATCCATGGATCTCTTACTGTTCGGTAGAGCCTCATCACTCTGAATTTTAGTTAATTAGTTTTCCTCGAGACCTCAGTTCTATGATGGGCTTTAAAAAGAAAAACAAAACTACGACCTATAGATTTTCCAGCTTGTTTTCTTTATCAGTGCAAGAGCAATTTTTGGGGGGAAATTTCTATTTCCTAAGCAGAATTCACTTCTGTTCTCTCCAGAACTCCACCTGTTACAGAGCATTATTATCATCAGCTTAATGATATTTATTCAGAATTCCCGTTCGACTCTGAGGGCACCTTCTGCATTAAATTCTTTTTTCCCTGTGTGCAGCCTTTAGAATTTTCTTTGCTGCAACTCTCTTGGTGGCAAGCCATTTCGGCTTTTATCTGTCAGTTGCATAATGTTATCCTCATTGTTGAAAGACAGCGTGACTGACTAACCAATTCTGCGTGAAGTTATTTTCTCTCAACATTGAATGATACTAGTTCACTCATTTTTGGCTTTCACTTTTGCTGTCGTAGTCAGCTTGATTAATATTCCATTGTAAATCGTCCTCTTTTCAACGCTTTTATGATGTGGAGTTTGTTTTTGATGTTTTACAATTTAACTATTATAATTGTCTTTGTATGTAATCTGCTAGAAAAACTTTTTTCTTGAATCAATGAACTTATACTTTTTCTTTCTTTCTTCTTTCTTTTTTTTTTTTTTTTTTTTGAGAATCTCTTGAGATACTGCACCCTCTTGCTCTTCTCTATCCCTGAGATTTGAATTTGATAAATGTTAGACCTTGTGTCTCAGTGCTCTATTCTGGGTAAATAGTTTGACCATATCTTTTTACACCAATTCTCCTGCCACCTGTGTCTGGTATATCATTAATAGTGTACATTCATTTTTTCAACTTTTTCACTTCTAAAAGTTTCTTTTTTCCAACCTGCCCATTCATTCTATCATTTACATTGCTTTCCTGTTTTTACATCTTTGTGACAGTAGCTTTTCTTTCCTTAAACAATTGATGCATAGCTGCTCAATTATTTCTTCGCATTGACAGTCCAGATCTCTTTAGTTTTGAGGCTCTGAATATGCTATTCATTTCATTAATTTTTGTTCGGGGTGCCTAACCTACCTGACCGCTTTTAACACTGAACTCCTTACTTACCCTTAGTCTTCCATCATCCTGTGGTCTAAAACGAAAACACTACTATCTAAACATACCTCTGTGAAATTGGCTCAATGCCATGTTTCAGTGTAGGAGTTCCGGTCTTAACAAACTGGCATTGCTGCCAGCCCAAGAGTCAATGTCCCCATGAGCATGGCTGATGATGGCATTGACCTTCTAGGAAGCCCAACCCCCTATTCCACCCCCGCCAGCTGACCAACACAGAGCGCCCACTGCTCCACCTTCAGCTCCCAGACTATTTTTGTGTGTAAGAGAGGGGGTATTCCAGGAAATTGCCCTACCATTTTCAAGAACAGAGATAGTTCAAGGAGATTCTCTACAATCTATTAATATTAGTCACTTGAGAGCATTAGTTCTAGAGCATTAGTCACTTGAGAACATCAACCTTGCAATCATGGCCAAAAGCCTAAATCTTTCTTTCAGTCTAATCATATCCGTGTTGTATCTTTCAGGCCTTTCTCAGATTCTGATGCAGTTTTGGTATTCTATGATTTCTGACATATGATAGATTCTTCAGAATGTTACTTCTAGTATTCTAGTGGTATTTGGGGAGGCATGGAAGGAGAAAGAAAACAGTGAGCTCAAGTCTCCACTGAGTTTTCTTCTTATAGCCATGACACTGTCCAGAAATTTCAGAACTGTATTAATATAGTATTGAGAGTGGGCATTCTTCTTTTTGCTCTGATTTTAATGGGATTGAGGGAAGGATTTTACTCTGAAACTGCTATATGGGTTGTGTTCAGACAAACTTTAACCTTGTTACAGTAATATTCTTCCTTCCTATTTTAAAAGTGTTTATCAGGAGTCAATGTTAGAAATCCGTCTACAGCCATATCACCTTGAATGTGCCCGATCTCATCTGATCTCAGAAGTTAAGCAAGGTTGGGCCTGGTTAGTAATTGGATGGGTGAAATCTTTTCAGTTCTTCCCTTTCAAGTGCATGCTCAATTAAGTAACTCGATGAACTGGGTCTATTATTATATTTGTTACTCTGCTACAGCAAATAGGAACATTACTACTAAATTCGAATCTAAAGATGCTGTTATACACAAATTGCACCATCTTCTTTCTAAAATAGTCGATCCTTCCACTACTGAGAGCACATGAACTTGCGTCCCTTATTCTATATAATTTGCACTGTGTGGTATCAGACTTAAGGCTCCTAAAGGTAACAGAACATGTTGCTTTGTTATCATTGCTTCTGGCTGGGTTTGGGAGCTGCATATCAACAAGTAAATGCTATTTTAAAAGTATCTCTTTGAGTATGATGTCTGTGTTTTGAAATTACATTGACAACTTTCAGTTGTTTAAGGCTAAAGAGTTTAGCCTTCCTCCTCATCATGTATTC